CCACATTCCACAAATCCATCAGCCCATGTGCATCCCTGTTCATGGCAAAAGTGAGATAACCGTGCCCAGCTATGGCTTTGTGAAGCTTCTTTCGTTACTGCTTGTGAAGGACCTTGAGATACTCAGCTGGAGAACTCTATCAACATGCAATCTTATTGACTGAAAGAGAAGTGGGGAAGGGCATCTGAACTTTGATCAGAAGGCAAATACTTTCTATTTCAGTCACTGGGGATACGTTTTAGAGTTGCCATTTTACAGCATGAGATATGAAAAGCCCTAAAGACTGGGTTGAATTTCACCTAGGATCACAATGCTTTATTTTTCTACTGTCTATGATGAATTTGATCTGGCATTATATGCTGATAACTTTGATTTGAAACAGCTATACCTGGAAACCAGGTTCCACTGCAAGTATTCCTGCTGCATGACAGATGCAGCAGTACTTAGCTAACATTACTTCCAGTTCCTCCATCATGTAGATGACTTTTCTAGAAATTAAATGTGCATTTATACTCATTAATGGTAAGAAAATAAATTTAGGAAGGAAATAAAAATCCATATTCTCATAATTCATATGGACAGTTTGCCTTTTTTCTTTAAATGGAAATAAAGTTTTCAAGTTTCTCTAATGATTAACCCAGTGCAAATACCTTCGGGATCTATTTTTCATTTAAAAAATGAATTAGCTGTGGCTGCAAAGCCCAGCTTTTGCTTGAGACTGGTATGCTATCAATCTAAGATATTATCTGATAGAATAACAGATTCAGTCTCCAGTGTTCAGCTAGCCTGGTGAATGTTCACAAGAAGAATAATTTACAGTCTACCGGGCCTGTAATAAGGGTCATAATAGATTCACAGAAAAAATCTCTTTCTGGCTTCCCTGTGTCAATCCCACTCGATATTAAATCAATATCCTTACGCAAACATACCTTGAAAGTGACTATTTTATTAGAATTGTGCTTTGCTGGAATTCTGATTTTGTTAACACAAGAGGTTCAAAGCCACCATTTAAATGTAGTTTAGCTGTCTGGCCAAATGCCAGCTGCTTTATTAGAACAACATAAATTGTGCATCTCAGGTAATAAAGTCTTACCTATTTCTCTAAGTTATCAATTTCCTCGCCAGTTCTAACATTTGGCTTTATTAACATTGAACCTAGCTCTTATATTACCTTTATCCTGCACTATAGTATTAAGAGAAATTGCAGAAATATGTGCAAAGTTTCACTTATGTTGTTAAGAAACAACGACTGTGACTGCTTTGATGCATACTGCCTGCTTTCCACACCTCTATTTGGGTACGACAAGAGTAATGTGCATTATAATAGCATATATGCTACTGCAATACGGTCAGGCAATACTGCAAATACTGAATCATAGAATGGTTGGGGTTGGAAGGGACCTTAAAGCTCATTCAGCTCCAGCCTCCTGCCATGGTGCCTGAAGGGGGCCTACAAGGATGCCGAAGAGGGACTCTTTCATCAGGGACTGTAGCTATAGGACAAGGGGTGATGGGTTCAAACTGAAACAGGGGCAGTTCAGGTTAGATATAAGGAAAAAGCTCTTCCCTTTGAGGGTGGTGAGGCACTGGCACAGGGTGCCCAGGGAAGTTGTGAATGCTCCATCCTTGGCAGTGCTCAAGGACAGGTTGGACAGAGCCTTGGGTGGCATGGTTTAGTGTGAGGTGACTTTGCCCATGGCACAGGGTTGGAACTGGACGATCTTAAGATCCTTTCCAACCCTGACTATTCTATGATTCTATGGGCAGAGACACCTTCCACTAAACCAGGTTGCTGCAAGCCCTGTCCAACCTGGCCTTGAACACTGCCAGAGAGGGATGACAGTATTTCTCCATTGAAGATATTCAGAACACACACACAAAAATGGGTGACATGAGCAAAAACATGCAATGATTTTGTCAACCAAGAACCACCAATCCATATTCAGACATGAAGCACCAATCCACATTCAACCGCAGAACACTCTGCATTCTGTTCATAGGAATAACACTTCAAAAAACATAGAGCTGTAATCCTGGCGGCATTTCAGTCTTATTAACAGATTCAAGAATCATTTTACAGTCCAATTTCTGTATTTCAAAACCTCTTATGTCATTTTCCCTCTCCAGCAGCATTGAATACATTCACACATAAACACAGTGCCAACAGAGGGAAGTGAGAAACATCACAGAAACACAACACTTCCGTGCAGGATAGACATAAAGAAGTCCATAAATGAATTTTCACTTGCCAGTGCTGCAGTCTAATATTCAGAAAGGGCTCATTAAACAACCTGACATTACTACTAGAAATTAAACAAGAAAACAAAAAGGAGATAAATTAGCAGGATCCATCTGCAGAGACATCTGTTCCATTTGAAAGTAAACAAGCTCTTCCCTAAAATATATGTAAACAAAGCACAGCCTAACTGTTTTGGCATACAAATACATTAAAATCATTAACTTGCTGAAAAATACAAGCAGCAGTGACATAACATTTATATTTCCTCAAAGAAACAGCAATGCACCAAAGTATGACATTGTACCCTGGAAAGGTACCAAAGGGGTTTCTAGAATCATTGCAAATGGAAAATGAGCTGCTTCCAGCCTCTCCACCCTTTATTGCCTTTGTAAACCTTGTTTCCTCCTCACACTCACCCTTGCTAGGTCAGTTGTTCTGTGGACAGCTACCTGAATACCACTCTAAAGGCTGCCTAAGTGGCTATCTTTGTACCAGAAGCTACAGGACTACCGGAAAAAGTCACCTTTTGCACAGAGAAACCAGGGAATCCAAACCTGTATTTTACACAAATCCCTCAAAAGTGCAAAGCTGACGTACTCTGTTCAGAGCTTTCAAATGTGAAGCATCCACTGTGTTTTACCCCACTCGCCTCAGACAAAGAGCTACTAACACTAATGTTAGTAGCCTAAAAACAGCCAATCAGCATAGCTTAAAACCTTTAAGAACCAGAGCAGGGTCTTTAACTTTGAGCAATATCATGTTACTTGATAACCAGGTACACATAAATTCTGAGGCAAAGGACGCAAGACCATTACCCTGAAGTTGTCATAATCTAAATATAAGCAAGTATATGCGCAAGAAAAGAGACATAAAGAGCATAATTTATAATCAACTAAGACTTCAATTTATTATTTTTTTACATTAAAAAAATTACAACGTAACAAGGGTTCAAAAAGCCAAATAAACCCGATTTCACACGCACACACTTGCTAAATCACAGGGTTCAACTGCTTGAAGTGGTATTTTCTGATTTTCATCAGGATTTTTTATTAAATAATATACACATTAAGAGCCTCATGAAAAAGCCAGACACATTTCTTCCCAATCTTTTAAGATGTGCAACTGAATATGCAAAGATTCTTGCAGAACTTCCAACTTCCCTCTCAGTTACATGAGACAAAGTTTTGTTCATTTTACTGCAATTTCATTGGATGTGTCCACCTATAAACTCTCTAGTCTCACACATCAACCCTCTCAGGCAAAGTGAACACATTACACAGTATTGCAATGTTTTGTTCGCCACAGACAAGACACGGATCCCTTAGGAATTTCACCCACCCAATGGTATAAAACCTGATGAAGCTGGAATCAAGATGACACAGTTACAAAGAAATGGAGAAGCAGGTCACTGAAAAAACGAATTATAAGTTCTGTAGTACATAAACTTTATAATGCAAAATTCTTCAGCACATTGAACTGCTTGAGGTGGGACAGATCATCAGTGCTACTGGCAAAGCAAAAGCAAGAACAGGACAATTTTAAGGCAAGTCCCAGGACAGGGAGCTATTTACTTTCTAGGCACAATTTCAAGCTATGCACCAAGGCTCCTGCTTTATAATTTATACTGCAATTTATAGACTAGATTAACAATAAAACAAAAAATAGTCTAAACGTAATTTTTAAAGAAACCATTTTTAGCTGAATTTCATTACTTGCAGGTTGTATTTCAGCACGTGAAAATTTATAAACATTTCTTAGCAATACTGTTGTTTGCCAGGCCCACATAAAGCAGTTCTAGATGTATATTGCTCTCATTTCTTCATAGTTTTGGTTGGAAAATGGTTAAATTCTAAATCGTACAATAGTTAGTGTTGGAAAGGACCTTAGGCTCATCTTGTTCCAACCCCCCTGTCATGGGCAGGTGCACCACACACTAAACCATGTCACCCAAGACTGCAGATTTTTCTACATTTAAGATCTGTTGTACTTGAGAAAGTACATTCTGCTTTCCTCTGATGTCTTTGTTTAAGGGATCATTAAGTTAACAGCTTTCCTTCTGTGTAAAGTCTGTACAATAAAAAAAGGGGCTCAGCAAGACCTTACAAAGACAGCTGTTTTCTGTGAACTGTCTCCAATCTGCAGTACATTCATTTTAATCTCACACAGGAGGTTACAGTCACTGGTTCCAGTCATCCTTGCAGAGGACTAGACACAATCCCCAAACATCTACACTTAAGTTCTCTAGAACCAATGCATTAAGAACTGGAGACGCATATCTGAGGGCAGAATTAGTCAAAAGTGGTGTTTACTGAAGATTTAGAGCTTACCTAAATGTTGTATGAGATTAACACTGCCAAACACAAGACACGTTTTTGTGAGCCTGGGAAGACATCTGGCAGGGGTGTAAGACTGCCTCTGATGTGTTATGCTGTTGTGTGCACCAGTCCTTGGAATCACTTGCGTATAAGGAATGTGTGTCTGAAGTGGGACACAAATGTACAGCTCTGTTTATTAGGACAAGCTGAAATAAAAATTAAAACTGAGCAAATTACTTTCTTTTCCCTGAAAACTGGATTTAGAAGGCTATGTCTCATTTGAGATCAACTTTCAACATAATGCTCCTCCTTGTGATTGACAACTGCACCTAAGTATATACTTTTTATAAAAACACACAGGTAATCCCCCAAACATTTATCAAATAAAAAGGGTTTAACAAAAATTAAATCTCAAAATAAATTACAGTAGCATGACAACATTTGGCTTCTTTAGTGTGACCACGTGCTTTTCCTTTGTTATCTTGCTGTTAAGACCATTACAGATCCAGTTCACGTCTCTGAACGTTAATGAGATGTCTGTGACAATAAACGTATAAAACTCTGCTTGCTACAAGCAAATGTCCGATATCAGTTTCACCTGGTCACAGATTATATGTAGACAGCCTTCTCTGGCCCCAAAATAAATATTATATAGTATTCTCCTAAATTCAGCATAACTAGACTCAAACAGAAAACTCAGGTCCTCCTTTCTTTGCTCTCAGTAGAAGTCGCCTGATTCGAAACCCTGCAAAAGGATTGATCCACAGGAGTGAAGGTTGACCCCCAAAAACAGATTTCATTCCTTCCCAACGTAGTCTTCGCTCCCATGTTGGCTTTTCACTCTTCAGTCTTTCAATCTCCTGTATATAAACAGACATGGAGCAACACACCGTTAGGTCCACAGATTAGGAAAGTCTAATAGCATTTACTGAAACTGATGACTATTTCGCATTTTTTCAGTGTATAGCTAGTGAGCTGATCAGTTTCTTACTATTACCTACTTAGTAAGGAAGAAATAAGAGTGGCTGATTTAGCCCTGTAGGAACAGGGCCGAAGACTTAGAACATAAAATGTGTGCAAGGAGGCTGGTCTACCTCTACCTCTTCCCCCCTCAAACTGGAAGATAAAATGACCAGAAAAGCTGATGTTACAGTAGAGGATCTACACAGAATATACTTACACTAGAAGTTGTTTACATGGTTAATGAAATGAGACAATAAAGCTTCCAAGAAGGCTCTTGTACTGCAATTACTGAAGCTAGGCTTACTCTCCCAAATGCACTATTTTGATGATCATTTCTTCTTCCCACTGACAAAGGCTTGATATTTACCTTTTTTTTTTTTCACAGCTACTTTTCAATACAGAAATACACTTTTAAACAGCCTCACATGAGAAAATTCTGAGCAGCCACCAGATTCAAATTCCTTCTGTTTCCAGTCAATAACCCATTACAAAACATCTCAAGGCTTAACACTGCAGGGCAGGGGAACCAAAGGTCCAAAGTATGGTGATACTCTAATACAAAGTGTATCAGAAGTAGAGGAAAGCCTGAAGGGTTGATGCAAGATACCTAGTTTAAGTGTAAGCCTGAGAAGAGCAGACATTTCTCACAGCAGGTATCAGGAGTTTGTGACAGATGAGAAGTGAAAGACCAAACTGAGGTCAAAATCTGTGCAGTGCTTTTAATTGAAAACCTGATTATAAGATTTAGGTCAGAAAAGCAAATAATGCAAGAACTCTTGTTAAAAAGCAAATCCCAACAAAGTATTTCAATCCTTAAAACTGCAGAAAATAAAAATGAAGATTTGAGGTTTTTTGCAAAGCAAGAGCCTGCCTTCATCAAATAAAATATCATCTAATCACATCTTCCTAAAATAACTGTTACAGCATATGAAAGTAGAGGTCTTTACCGTTTCATCATTGCATATTGAGTGGATCTGGGTGCCAAACATGACTGCAGTGAAAGTGAGAAACAGAAAACCCTCAAGGCACAAGAAGATCATCAGGATCACAGTTACAGGTGGTGAGAAGTCACTGCATTCTGTGAAAATGATATATGTAGTTATAATAAATAAATGTCTACAGAGCATGTTCATGCTAAGATATCTCTTCAACAAACAGCAATAAAAGTTAAATATCTGGCAGCTGAAAAAGTATTTTCAACAATTAAAACAAATTTCTAATTTCTAGCAAGGCAGCAGCTATACTTGCTGCCCAAGGAAATAAAGAATTTTATGGAAGTAACATTTTTGGCTTCCTATAAAGCATATGGTACTGCATTGCTGCAATCCTGCCTCAGTATTTCAAGGATATCAAATAAATGTTTGCACGTGAGACAATTTAAGTACTCAGAACTGCACATATATAAAGATGAGAGCAGCTTGAAGTTTCATGCATGACAAACACTGCAAGAACCACCACTGCCAGCTCTGACTTGCTAGTTAATATTAGCAAGATGTCCCATTTTGCTGCAATTCCTATTACTATTTTAATCCCTACACAAAGTAAGCAAATTCAGACTTAAAACTTACATCTTGGGAGAACAACTGATCAATTGATTATAGTTAAAGAAAGAAGAAATGGGATAGTATAAAGAAAGCAGAATGCTTCAAGTAAAATAAAGGGCTAAGATTCCATCCATTTAATGGAATATTCAGCAAAAACCAGTCACATGGATTCCCCTGTTGTTTCAGGTATCAGGAAGAACATATGATCAACCATTTTCTGGCAAAAGCACTAGGTCAGAATGAGCTCTGGCACACTGGAACACTAAGAAAGTCAAATCAGAGGCCTAAACAAACAACTGGGTCAATTTAGGAAATTTCTTTTCTACAGAAGCCCCACAGCTGGCTCCAGTAACAAAATAAGGAAGAAATTCTGTTGTTCACAGAACTGTGCTGTGACACCCAAAGTCCAGCTGGCAGTTTCAGGTAATATAGCACTGAGGTGGCTGAGGACCAGCTGTCTGCTTACTTCCTGTTACAGAGGTAGCAAATTCTTTACTATATGGAAACAGCTCTTACAGTGAATGTCTAAAAGGTAACCAAAAAGAGACAGAGCTGGGTAAACAGGAAACCAGTATGAAATATTTTCAGGACCTCACTTTAAAAAGACTGAAGTCCTGTAATATTTCATACATGAGACTAAAATAAGTGTAACTTTCCCTTAATATCTGCTGTATTATGACAGTGAAAGTTAAGTATTTGCTTACCAGTCCACTGCCCTCGGACACAGGAGAAAAACTGAAAACCACACAGTATGAGCGCATGAGCTGAAATTAGGGCTATATACATCTGGAAATAAGAGAGTGTGCTTACTTTTGACTGCTGCCAGGTAGTAAAGCAGACATTCATACCAGCCAACCTTCACCACTGCACAGCAAATACACTTTCCTATTTCAATATTTAATTCAACAAAATGATGTAAAACCAAATTCTAAGTAAGTTTAAATCTAAAAACATGGGTAACAACAAAAGTTTAAGGATTAGCTCCCTAAATATAGCTCCATTTCACTAATCCTTATTACATAAAACACAGTTAATAACAATATTAAAGAGTACAAGATTAAAATGAGTATAAGTATCTTCTTGGATAATTTCTTGCATAGAATTAAACAAAAAAAACCAACCAACAACAAAACCCAATTGTGCCCTTAAGCCATTAATTACTACTAAGCACAATCAAAACTGTTATAATCAGGGTAGATTTGTACTGAAATCAAGCTGTTTTTTTCACTTACCGTAAACAGAACAAAAAATCTCTGATTTTTCTCCCCCACACAATTATTGACCCATGGGCAGTGGTGATCCATCTTTCGAATACATCGTTTGCAAATACTGAGGGATAGAAAAAGAGACTTCCATTGAGAAACAGTACTTCACATTTTAATATTGCAACAAGGATACCCAGTGGTCATAAGATGATGTGCTGTATTCTTTCTTGTCAAACTGTTAACAGTTATTATATCTCCATTTCTTTAAAGAAACTATTTGCTCACTCACAACTCTGGTTTTGGCTGTTACAGAACTGACTGTGTACATAAAATTTTCTTCATATACGAAAAACAGTATTAACATGAAAATCACTGCTTATCCAAAAAAATACAATCGAGGGAATCCTGTAACTTGTTTTAGACACTTCTGGCACTGAGTGAGGCAAGTTTTACTTCTTTGTAGATTCAGTAGAATCTTCCCTTCTGTAGAAGCTATTTTACACAAAGTAATTACTTCAAGGTTGCAGACTTTTAAGTTGTAAATTTGGTTTGTGAATCACCAAAAAAAAAAAAAATGGAAAGAAAGAAAAAAATTCACATATTCAAAGAGAAATCAAGGTTTCAACTGGCCACACAATTGTAAACATATGCCAGCAAAATCTCAACTGAAGAACAGCTTACAAGTTCACTCCTCACCTTCTCAAACATGAAACAAAAACATTGAAACTATAAGCAGCACACATTCTTTGCCTTCTTATAATGAATATTTAAACACTGGTGTTCCTTGTTAGTTCTGTAACTAATTGCTTTGGTGCTGCCCAGTTCTGAGTCAAGGGTATTTCCACAAGTCAAATACTTCAGTAACTCCATTTTACATGTGCTAAGGCATACACGACCAGAGGACTCTTTTATATTCAGGTCCATCTGCAGCTAAACACAAAGTTAGAGAAGAGAAACAGAACAGCTGCAACATGTGTTGAGGGTCTTCCAATAAGTTCATCAGCTTAAGCAATACTGATACTGAATTCTCCTAGCTTTGTGCTTAAGATAGCCACACACAAAACATTCCAGATTTTCCTGCAGAAAATAAACAATATTGAGCATTTTCATTTTGGCAGTTACAAAGGCAAATAAGCCTAAAAAATGCAGGCATTAGTATTCAAAATCCTCTGGTTTTAATGCATGCTTATTTATGTCTGGTATCTGTGAGTGCTGCAGTGACAAGCCATGAAGCAAAGCCAGATGACTGTCAATAAAGTGAAGAAAAGGGTGTTTGTGTAGGGAAATAAATGCTCCAACGCATAAAATAACTTTTAAGTCATCATATATGCATGATTTTAAGGTAATTCAGCAAGAAACAGAACTTCTGTGGAGGTTGTATGGGAGAATCCCAAATATCTCACTGCTCCTCTGAAGCTCACTTTGCCCTTAGCTACCATAACCCAGCCCCTACATTCCCACTGCCTCTTATGGATGGTAAAGACAATTCATCCTCACATGCAAACTACTTTTTCACTAATAATTAAACTACTTATATTAGCTACTAATTTAACTGGTAGTGCCAGTTACACATGAAAATCCCAAGATCATAACTAAACACCACAACAATTCTCTAGTGCAGAAGAAACAAGTATCACTGAAGAAAGGCATTCAGAAGGTTCACCAAAAGATTTTCATTTCACACAGCCTGCTACCTGTAAGTTCAGCCTGTCATTAATTTCCCAAGCTCTGTGGGAAGGTGACCTAACCCCAGCTACCACAACCGTGCAACCCTCTTAACGTAACACATAATATACGCTATCACTCTAAAAAGAATATTAATGTGAAATACTAAGTAAAATCATACAGACTCAATCAAGCCAAACATTAGAAGATGTGAGGTGGGCAGGACTCACTTTTGCTCATTCAGTATTTCACACAAGCCCACGAAGAGTTCTCCAAGACATCAGATGTCTGGAACCCTGCCTTCCTTTCTAATCTCACACCACGCTTCAACAAACGTTTCCAGCCAACAAACACACAGCAATGCTTAACACAGTGGTTCTGCCTTCTTCCTACCCCCGTCACTTGTATTCTAGTCCTTTCCTTGTCCAAGCACAGATGTTTTTGCAGCAAGAGTTTGGGGAAGTCACTCTATGAGCTGGAACCTGGGTCATGTCACTGCGTATGAACACTCATGCATTACACAAGAGGAAAGAGCAATAATGGTAATGAGAACAAGCAGCTGTGGGAGAAGGACAGTCTTCTCCAGCTTGGCATTGCAGCTGAATGCACTCCGGCAACAGCAGATGCAGTTACAGACTGGAATGCCAAAGGTAACATCCAGAAAGACACAGCTAATTGCTTAAGAGAAACTGGTCTGCATAACAGAAATTCACAGGAAGATTGATGCGGACATCTCAGTGACTTGTTTCTGGATAACAGCTCCCCACACACAAACAAAGGCACTCAGAATAGGCCAGAAATAATGACAGCTGTGCTCCTTCAGTGAAAATGAAATAGCATTCACTCAGGATAGGCCTCTTCTTTATGCTGAAAACATTAACTGCCTAGTAAAATCTCAGTTTAATGTGTTTCACTGAGGCTAGTTATTTAGCTGTGAATAAGTTTCTTGCTCTTTTTGCCACCACTAATGTGTATTATGAAACTTATTTTTCTTCCTTAAAAGAAATCCCGCTACAATATTGCACAACAATTTTCATAAATACATCATAAGAGTCTCTTCTGTTAATAATTTACTACTCAAAACACTGTGGCTTTGAGTGCAAGTATTTCCCAACAGGAACCAACTTCAATTTCCATTTTCAAGTCTCTTCCATCAGCAAATTGCCACTTTGACTACTTGGGACTAGACCACCCTTTTAATGTCCTTGGAATGGGTTTGTAAGCCAATAAAAAGTTGGCAGTATAATCAAACAAACCTTTTTTCTATTCAGTAAACTACTGTAGTGCTAAGTCCAGGGCAAAGAATCAGATTAAAAGAAACAAAGACAATTAAACCAGATATCCAACTACTGAGAAAAACATGACAGCAGGCTTACAACAGATACGCTTTCAGGCTCTGGCCATCTTTCAGATGTTCTGTGAAGGCAGTTACACAATGCACAAGCACCAGAATGCATCCTTTGCCTTTACATGGAACATCTCACAGTGTATTTTACCACAGCATAAAAAGTAAAACAATGCACAAGATATTCAAAGCTCGGTCCTTAAGCCACCGGTTATTGAAAAGAAACTCTTCGAAAGTATCACAGATTTCCTTCACTACCCATTCTTGCCCTGCTTTAACAATAAATCTTGCTCAAATTCTTGCTGTAAATAACGTCTCTGAAGTCCCTACTTAATTTTCATTCTTCTTCCACGAAGAAATAACTTTTCAATAAATACCACCTTCACTGGGATCACAGGCTACTGGAACATCCAAGATAACACAGTGCCTGCCAAGGATGATGGCCCAAATGTACCCAAGGGACACTGAAAGATGTACCTGAAACATCTGTTAGCTCCAGGTCTAACAGATGTGGGTCTAACTACTCACAGAGAGAACAACCCGGCTTTCCAGTACTCCAGCTTGTCTGCCCACATGCAGAGCATAACGTAAGATACCTTCATTTAAGACTACTTCCAAATTAGTAAATCCTATCAGGACTGAAGATGTGGAAAACGCAAAGATACCTGCAAAGTCCCTTAGGAACCTGCCTAAATTCAAGCTGAGAAAATTATTAAGGTCCAATGTACACTTAGCAGAGGCTCTCAGGTGTCCCTTTACTGCCTCCCATGGACACAGTGCCAATGAACAGACTGCACAAAGCCGTTTGAGATCCCCAGAGATTAGCAGCTTATATTTTGCCACAAGAAAGCAGCTGCGCTGCTTCTACCCCCAGGCCCACCAAGCAGTGGGTACAGCTGTCTTCATGTAATGCTCTACTGAAGCTAATAAAACCAGCCAGAAGCAAACTCACTGCCCAGGAAGGAAGGCCTGGTACATGCATCCATGCAAAAGCTAACCTACAACACAGAGAAACTAGCTGAAGATAATTCTATACTTGACTATTTATACATGGAACTTTTCCCTTCACACTCCAGATACAAAAGCCCACTCACATCTGAGAGAACAAGACTTCAGTGGCTGGTTATTTATAATGGAAATAGCTCTGCAGCCATACTGCTCACAAAGATAAGCAACATACACTGAGACATTTAATTTAGAAAGCACAAACTTACAGAATAATTTCAGAGTCCTGACAAGACTTCACTCTGTTCTTCTGATTGGCACTAACTCACAGACTTAACTGTAATATGCCACACAATTCAATACATATCACTCCTTACACCTAGAGAGCCACCAGAAACATTTACATATTTATGTAAGCCTTAATTATGCAGGCATATCTATTTTCAACTCTCACACAATAAACATTACAAATGCATATCCACAGTTCCTGAAAACTCAAAAGACTGAGAATTAGAATGTATATGTTTACTATCTCTTCCTTTAGTTCAAATTACCATCACTTCTGTGGTTATTAAAATGAATCTTCAATAGGCAGAAATGCATTTAAACAATTATGTGCACCACTTTGGGTAAATAATCTGACAATTCACATGTAACTTCAAGTGACACACAAAGAAGACAAGACACAAATTAAAGCGACAGTTTACAACTCATCTGTATTTTGTTAATTTAAACTGCAGGAGACGTTTGTTTCTTAAATGAGCTTCTAAAATAAATTTCCTTGAGATTCTCCCTTGCCCTGCATTATCAACAGTATGGCACAATAATTACAATGATGCTCAGGAAAAAATATTCAAACGCTATTTAAGACACCACAGTATGGTTATTTTTAAAAGCTCCTGAGTCTCTTGCTTTTTTCCATCACCCACATTCATTTTTGGCCATAGTATATTACATCCATAAAATACTCCACAATGTATGAATTCGAAAGTTTACTGGATACCAAAAGAACCTGTGGTGGAAAACAACCCCCCACATAAGTATCAGGAACATTATTCCAAGACTCAATATGCATAACTGCTTTAAAACTATGGCATACCTGCAGTGGTGTGCACGTTCAGGTTTGATACTACAGCACTTCGGACACTTGTAGATCACTTCTCCTGGTTTCAGTTGCAAATTATCCATGTATTCTTTAGTGGCATTTCCTTTGGGTACAGCCCCCTGAAATAATATCAATTAAAGGAGAGAAAGCTTCTTAAATGGTCTGAGAGTGTTTTAAAATACATTTTATAGACTTCGTACCAGTAATCTCAGCATAATTGCTGAAATGAATTCATTTATTCAAAGCTAGTCTGCTATAAGCCAGAATCATTTACAAACGCATAAATTACCTCTGCTTGACCTCAAATGCACCTTCATTTCAGCAAGACTCATCTGTGGCCAAGTATTAGCATAATTCTGACAGAATCTGTTGTCACCAGCATACATAAAATATCTTTACATGCAGATATAAGCTTTATGGGTACAATATTTGCTGACAAGAAGACATACTTTCTTACAGCAGCATATGTTAATTGTGACATTCAATTATTAGGCCAAGACATCCCCAAAACTTAAATCAACAACTACTTGAAAGATATTATTTCAAATCTCTGCATCCAAGATTTAGCCCTATGTATACAGGTTTTTGAGAAGCAACAGTCACCTTTTTTAACTTTATACTTAAGCTTTTAGTTTGGACACTGTTAGCATGAACCACCACTGCCTTCTTTATTCTGCATCCAGTGTCATCTTCTGCCTTCTGCAAACTGTGGAAGTTTGTGTAGCTACCTGGTAAACAGCTGAAGGCACTGATCCAAAAGAAAAATAACCCATTAGGAAAATAAATTATTTTTTTAGTGATTAGTCCTCTGAGCTGCTCATCACAGAGCTGCATTAGCAGCTGCTCAACACAATGAGGAAGATGACGGAACAGACAGGAAAAGTAGGCAGGATTGCTTCTTCCAGTAACAATATCAATCGAGAGCCTTGTGAGATCAGAATCTAATTCTGGATTAGTAAGAAGAAAATAATGGACATTACCAGTGTCATCTTGCTTATTTATAGAGCTAAAAGCTTATCTGTGACAGGAAGTGATCGTGAAATAAACCGGAATGTGAAATGAATGTGGCCTTTCTGTACCAACTCCTCCAGACCAGCACCTTACATGACACAGAGATAGCCTTCTCCAGGTTGTCTTAAATCATCTGCAACACTCTATTTCTCATTCAAAAAGAGCCCACTGGCAACACCATGAATTTACAGAGACACCTCAAGGGAGTTTGTAGGACAGAATTGAAGAAAACAGGAGGCACTTTGGATTCAATTGCAAAACACCCCTCTACTCTGGCAGAAAGTTTTTGTTGTGTATGTCCTGGAATAACAATCTTGTGTTTGTATTGCCTGAGGCACAGCCCAAGTTCTGCCCTAGATGAACTCTTTGGCTAAGTGGTGCTTCAACCTTGAGCCAGCTGTCCTTTGGAAGTGCACAAACTCAAAGAGAGTTTCTGAAACTCCCACATTGTATTGCTGAAGTGTTTTTCGCAACATGAATGTTCTCACTGAAGTGAATACTTTGGTGTAAACATGGTGAATTATCCCAGAGAGAATTCCTAAACACAGGTAAATCTGTGTTTATAAAACACATCGCACATCCACCTATTCACCTGTCACTAAGGACAGTAACTTCAGGCCGTACTTTTGGCATTTTGCTGATAAAAATATGTTCTATTTCAAAAGCATCTTTCACAGTCTCTGACAGTCACCAATTCCTTTCAATAAGGAAAAAAATCAATTTTAATACTTATATTATTCATATGTTTTGAGGCAGTTTATTCCTTTTTTCCATCAATCATAGTTCCTATTACACTATCATGTCTTCCACTCTGCGAGTCACAAGGAAAGGAGTGGTGAAAAAAAAAGGCAGTGATTCATTTCAATTACTATCATGTTTTAGCCATAAAGAACAACATAGGTCTAGAAAGACACACAGTTTTACCAGGATGAATTCTTAAGCAATATATCCTTGAACCATTAACTTTCTTAGCTGTTGCAGTCTGTAGAAGTCGGCACATTTCATCACTGGGTGTGGGCTCAGAAGTAAGTCAAAGACCTAGGAAACCATTAACTACAATACCCTCCTGGCTTTTTTGAACACTCCCCTAACTTCCATATACACTGTTACCATCTCAAAAATCTGGAGAAAACAGAAGTGTTACCCTTCTCTCCCCAGATATATTCCCTTAAAAGAGTAGTAGATTTTAATACAAAATAAACAATTTAATCTCTTGAACTGTTGAAGAGCAAGAGTCCTAAGAAAAGAGTACTTCCAAGATCTCTCAAACCTACACCCTTCCAGAGTGGGTTCAGCTAAAATCTCCCATACCACTGACTCCACATAATTAAACACAGTAATCATGGAATCATGTATGACAGTAGCTCTTACTTTATGCCAATACATGACTGAGGTTTTACAGCATGTCTACCTCTAAAAGTTCTTTCACGTGCCATAAATGTAAGATATATTTCAAAAAGTATAACAGGGTGAAGCTACAACTTCTTATGAAGTTTCAAAAATATATCTGACAAACAAAAGTAATAAAATGTGGACAGAAAAGACTAAAACTCTATCACCTTCTTCAGAACCTGGGTTAATATTTTACAAATAAACTAAATTTCCCATGAGCCTACCTCTCCCTCTTAATTTTATACTGCCTGCTCCTCAAGTCAAATATTATTTACAGTTTCAACAGAACAGGAAAAGTACAGATATCTGCCTTCACCTTGAGGGTTTTGAATCTAATACCACTTTTCCTAGCAGGAGACAACTGATACCACTTGCCCACATCTCCGCAGACGATGAGCTACATGAGAGAACAATCCAATGTAAAGAACAACTGCATACTTACTGGATCGGTTAGCATCGTTCTCAGATGCGATGACAAAGCTAGTACTGCCAAGCAGTTAAAGAGAACACCGTTGATCACCGAGTACCAAAAGTCTTTGGAAGGCAGCAACATGACAAAAGTCACTACGAAGTCTGCATAGACAACCAGAAGCCATGTCATTATAGCACAGACCATACCGCAGCCATCTCGGATGAACCAAACCCTCTCTGCCATGTCAGCCTCTGAGGAAGAGGAATCATAGCTGTCATTTTCAGCAAGAAGTGGGTGGTGCTCGACATCACGGAATCTGTGCCCTGATGACTGCATGGTTTTCTGGCCTTGCCCTGCAGGAAGCAAAGATATACCATTATTATGCTTGAGGAAACTGGAAATACAGGTGGCTCTCGTCTATTATTTGTGTAAGATAAAACCAGTTGAAAATAGATTACTGAGATTTTTTTTTTAATCAAAACCTGAACAATTCTATGACTACACAGATATGAACTATTTCTATAATCAAAAGACACTAATTTACAAAGTTTCATAAACAATTTTGTAAGCAATTTTCTGAGTTTTATAATACCATAACTTTCTTTTCTTATCACTTTGGTTTGCATGGCAAAGCTTGGATAGAAGGTGGGCTACAGGCCTCCGGGAGAAGCTGCTAGAAGCTTCCCTTATGTCCAACATAGCCAACGCAGCTTGCTCCAAGACAGACCTGCCACTGGTTAAGACCAAGCCCAGCAGTGACAGTGGTAGCACCTCCGCTATAACATATTTTAACAGGGGGGGTAAAAAAAAACTGTGGAACTGTAGCCAGAGAGAGAAGTGAGAATACAGGACAGAAACAGCTCTGCAGACACCAAGGTCAGTGACAAAGGAGAAGCCCGTGGTGCAGCCCACGGGGAGGCAGGCTGTGCCACTCAGTCCATGAAGGTCCACGGTGGAGCAGGTATCCACCTGCAGCCTGTGCAGGACCCCACACTGAAGCAGGGGAATGCCCGAAGGAGGCTGCGTCCCTGTGGGAGCCCATGCTGGAGCAGGCTCCTGGCAGAATCTGTGGCCCTGTGGAGAAAGGAGCCCACGATGCAGCAGGCTGGCTGGCAAGACTTGTGACCTTGCAAGGGAACCGTGCGAGAGCAGTCAGTCTGTTCCTGAAGGATTACACCCCAGGGAAGGGACCCATGCTGGAGTAGTTTATAAAGAACTGCAGTCCATGGGAAGGACCCATGTTGGAGATGTTCATGGAAGACTCTCTTCTGTGGGAGGGACTCTAGCTACAGCAAGGGAAGAGTGATGAGTCCTCTCCTGAAGAGGAAAGAGCCACAGAGACAACGTGTGATAAATTGACCACAACCACCACAAGCCAGTGATGGGGAGGAGGGTAGACAAATAGGCAGTAAAGTCGAGGCCAGGAAGAAGGGACGGGTAGGGGGAAGGTGGTTTTAAGATTTCTCATTATCCTACTCTGATTTGACTGGTAATAAATTAAACCAATTTCCCTAAACTGAGTCTGTTTTGCCCATGATGGTAACTGGTGAGTGACCTCTCTCTGTCCTAATCTCTACCTACAAGCCTCTGGTTATATTTTTCTCCCCCCTGATGTGGGAAGTGATAAAGCAGCTTTGGTGGGCATCTGGCATCCACACAGAGTCAACCCACCACAATCATGCAACTTCAATGCTTGACAAAGTGATTTTTGAATGGTTCTGTTTCCATTTTGTTGTGCCTGTAAACCATTCTTCCTCTTCTGTCCAAAATGTAACCTCTTTCTTCTATCTCAAACTAAAATGGCATTAAATTACAACCCCTGTCTCTCAGAACACAGCAAGTAATGGCACCAAACTGTTGGCTTTTCATACTGCTCCAGCAGCCCTGGGAAGAGCAGAAGGAAACTTAGAAGGGAAATAAAGCTGTTTAGTACATTGTTCACAACAAAAAACACTGCAAGTTAGTAAGCAGCTACATTTGTTGACAAAAGTGCTATTGCATTGAAAAAAACCACAAACCTGACACAAAGATACATTGGATAACTTACAAAACTCACCCAGATCAGACCAACCTTCAGGAAAACAAATGGTAGTGGTTAAATTAGCATGGCAATGGATAATATGAATCAGATTTTCAAAAAACACATTTAATTAATTTCATGAAAACCCTTCTAGGACTTTATGGGGGTTCCAGCATGGAACAAAAACCTGAAACCTCGAAAACAGCACTATTTTCCAGACAGAACTGAAGTGCTTTCAACCAATGGGAGGCAAAATAAAGTTTTAACATTATGCATCAAGAATATCCTGCTACTTTAGAAGTATACTGTGCTCTAAAATTCATATTGATTCATACAACTAAAGGCCACAAGTGAGGGAAACTTGAAAGCATTTATATTGATTTATGACAGCCAAGCAGAAGTCTCCATTTTTATTTCTTGTTAAGGCAGCCTACTGGTAGGAATTATGGCACTTGAATTTACATCCCCCGACCTTGAATATAGGACCACTTTGTTAGTCTAAAATGGTCAAAGTGTCCATTACAAGGTAAAGAGCCTCTTACACTAAGACAGTTTGCAGATTAAGCTGCGTATTTCTAAACCCTTTAAAAACTCCCGGTCCTATCTAACAGGAATCAGATAACTACATTCTGCCCAGTAAATCCTTCTGATCTTTAAGCTTTAATGCTAGAACTAGGCAGGAATAATCCAAGAGACTAGAAATGAAAACAAGTACATGCAGATTGCAGTGTAGAGATCCCAGAGCAACAGTTAAAATAACTAGCTGAGATGCTCATAGAACACAGTTAAGTGTGGGCTACATTTTCTGGCTCTAAAACAGAACAAACTGAAAGACAACATTGGTGCTTGGATGTTACCGCTAACAATGCAGTATTAAAATTTCTAGGAGTTACACTGTTCTCTATCCACACATTGGGTTTTTTGTGGTTCTGTGTTGTTTTTTTTTTGGGGGGGGGGGGAGAGTTGTTGTTGGGGTTTTTTTTTGTTGTTTTTTTTTTTTTGTGGGTTTATTGTTTTACACCAAAGTCCCCTCTCTTACCAGAATGCAGCTATCTAAGCCATGGAAGAAGGTTCACATACTAGAAAAATACCTTAAAAAAGAAAAAAACTTCACCTCCCTTAAAAGCAATTCAAGCTTAACCTAGGTAAGGCCCACTTTTCAGCCACTTTCAATTATCTTAATCTTTCTGTATGTTTACAGTTAAAATTACAATCCATGCCAATTCATTTCAATAGCACTTTGTGACATCAACCACTCCTTGTGGTCAAGACTTGTAAAAGAAAATTCAAGTTTCATGAAGCCTACGTACTTAGCAGCTAGAACATGCAGCTATTATTTCATCAACAATGGGCATATAAAACTTTTAACAAAAGCTTTTGTCTAACCTTTTCTCTCTCAAAAAGAAGAAACCACAAAAAAAAAAAGTATCTACAATAGATTTTCAATTAAGCTTTGAAGTATATAAGGGGCTGACAGCAAAGTTAGCAGACACACAAAATACCCAACAAAGGCTCCAAAAAGCCAAACTTCTCCTAAAGAGGTAAGCAGCATTACCCAGATGTTTTCAATTGTTTGAGAGGCATCAATGACTTGAAACCAACCTCCCAATTATGAAACTTCTTACAGAACACAAATTTGGAATTCTTCCTAGCTAAGGTGCAACACCGCAGGAGAAAAAAAAAACCAAATAATTTTTTTTCAACCAGGGCAAGTTTTCAGCTGCTCAAATCAACAAGTTACCTTAAGTAATTCTGAAAGTAATATATCTGTATTTATGTATGTCACAACAAATGTGACTTTTTAGATCAATTCTGCAAGCAACTCCTTTGCATACAAATGAAATGGCATTAAATTACTGCTCTCGTTTTATTTAACTGTATTAAAGACAACCAAGAAATTTTTAGCACAACAGAAAAAACCCACATACCTCACAAATGTTTTATGTTATTCTGACATCATGTCCTTCCTTTGGGCTATCCTAGGCTATTCACATAGTCATAGCTGATGTAATCTGAAAAGATATCATGAATAAACTGATCAGTAAAGCACTCTGGTTTCATCAGGAAAACAGTGTTAAGCACAAATTATATATATATAGATAGCAGTACTTTGAAATACGCTGCATGTACGTACAGCAATCAAACTTCTGATCAAGAAGAAAAAAAAACTTTTAGATTGTCAAAGAACAAAACTAAAACACTCTAAACACTGTTTCAAGTAACTCTGCATTTGTCTTGTTCACTGGTTTTGCTGCATATCCAGGTTTTAGCACTACAAAATAATGAATCCAAAGGCCAACTTGCTTTTCTTGTTTCCCATGCCTGTATGTCTAAGAGGTAGAATATGCAAAAAATAATAATCTTATTTGTCTTTAGAACTTACAGCAAGCTTTTTGGTAGCAGAGTATTACTAACAAGTATACACGCCTACCACTATTTCCATAATTGTATGATGAGATAGGAAAAAAATGTTTTAACTCAAATTAATATATAAAAGAAAACGCATATAAAAGAAAACAGCCCATAACTACGCCAAAAAGAATATACACTTAGAAAGCTCTCTTTGCTAGAATTCCACCATATATACAAATAATCACCATACAACCTATGACATACAAATCAGTATAAGGACTGAAATGCTACCATGAGCTGTTCTAACCATACTTAATTTGACAATACAAATGTTCCACAATCTTGAATTATACCCCTTCCTTTTCACAAGGACACAATATCTACATCCAACACAGACTGTGCAAAGTAAGTGCTCATTAGTAGTCTTAAAAGTGTAGAAGATTTCGTTTTTCATAGTGAAAGAAGAGGACAATGAACTTATTTTAGCTAGAAAACCAGGTACTAGTTTGAAAATTTTAGCAGTCAACTTTTGGAAATCACCACATGACATCTGGAGTGTGAATGCAGCACAAAACTTTGAGTTAGATTTCTATTTGGAGAAGAGAACAGAAAAGATGTGGTCCTAACTTTCTGACTGGAAAAGTTAGCGACCACACGCATGATGCACAGAAAGTGGTGAAGCACTGGTTTCTGTCAAATTAAGTTGGGAGCCCTGTTGTATGCAACAACATTGACTGCCACTGCTGTTGTCTCACCCAGTCCTACTGCTGCAAATCATAACATCTGTCTCCAATTAAATCCCCAATACATGATTAAGGAAGATTTTCTTGCTTTATTTTATAGCTTAGAGTAGGAACTTGGAATGCATCTTGTTAAAGCTGGCTAAACAAGTACCTAGGTTTATTTCTTCAGTTCTTTTATTTTCTAGTATTTAAAATAAACTTTGTGACATGAAAGCATTACTCTTTCATTTGGATGGTT